CTCCCCACCCCAGTAATGGAAAAGTGGGAGTGGGGGGAAAGTTGCGGGTTTAAACTTCCACGCATTTTAAAATGGCCAAGATTGAGAAATACCGTTCTAAGCAATGACATCAATATACACCATAATATATTTGCATAATAGAAAGAATACTTATACAATTATAAAATCCTAAACCTATATGTAATCCTGACACCTGTACCATCTAACTTTGCTAGTAAGACCTATCAAAACAAAAACCAAAAAAACCCACCGGCCCTACCATCTAACTACTAGCTACTTCTAACTATTGCTCTGCTTCATTAAATAAGTACATTTCCAAACATGTGTGATACTCTGTTTTGAGTATGAGTTTCAACTGAACATGTAACTGTTTCAGTAAGATTTGGGCTCCTGGACAATGGGAGGTGAGGGCAGGAATCTGCAGGATCCTCTTCCTGTCTCTAGCAGTCTTCGTGCACCAGCCTGCTTGATTGCTTGTATCGAATTCCAGGTCACTTCTGGGGATTAATCTGTATGCAAATATGAGGCTGTTTAATCAGGGGAAGCAAAATGGGGCATAGTCTCATAGCTATTCTGCAGGGACATGAGAAGCTAAAGAATGGATTGATTGATTAATTAATTAATCACCTTGTTAAATTAACTGGTTGCTCCTCTTCTTTATGAATCCAGTCCAGGGAAAGTTCTCCTCCTACTCTGGAGAATATGGTGGTAGTGGTGGGGACCATTTTGATCAATCAAGTAACCAGCTGGAAGGCCCTGTATCAGCTTTGAAAATAAGGTCAAATGACAGTTGTATATTAAGGTGTGTATGTCTTTTTAAACCCTATGTGTCTGTAGCTGGGGGGACTTAACAGCACTTGACAGTTAAGAATTATGAATCAGCTGAGGAGAGGATAAGTAACCTATATGTGGAAACTTATGTGTAAGGGCTGCAGATCCAGAATAGAGAACTTATCTAGAACAATGCTGAGGGGGGAAAAGGGATGAATGAGCGCAGGGATTCTTCTAGATCCATTGACCATATGAAATGTAGTTCATATATACTGGATTACAGTGCTATCATCTCCACCCAGACTGAAGAAGAGCTGGTAAATGCTCATCTCAGCAGACTTGGGTAGGAAGGGGTCTTTCATATATATATACACACTGGATGTGAAAGACCCCTTCCTACCCAAGTCTGCTGAGATGAACATCCACCATGAATTCCCATCTAAGATGCAGCTGCATGTAACATCATGCTTCTCTTGTCCATGCAGCATCCAGGTTCGCTATGGTGACACATGGTCCAGCAATGAAGGAAGCACAGCCGGCAGCCCATCTGACATGCGCTTGGCCTTCGGAGAGGGGCTGGTGCAGGCGCATGGCCGTTTTGGAAACTCTGTGGAATATCTGGCCTTCCGCACCAACTTGGGCCATGTCTTTGCCTTCGGGTCGAGTTCTGGTTTGGGAACGTCTTTCACTGCAGAGCCTGCATACCCCAACACAGTTCTGCGGTTCATCAGTGGAAGGTCGGGATTGCTGGTCAATGCCATTGGTTTCCACTGGGACGAAGAGCAATGGATTAGGGGATGGAATGAATCCATTCACTCCCCAAATCCACCACCAGTGACCCAGATATAGATCTCTCTACCTTTGGTCATCACCCTTGAAATCAATAAAAATTCCCAAAGTTAAACAATGGCTCCCTTTTACTATGTCCTTTGGATCTTGAGGGTATGGGAAAAGAAAAGGTGAAGGGGAGTGACATGCTTCTGTTGCTCATATCCTTGTTCTGATAGTCCCTTCATTAATTTTGATTTTGCTCATTAAAGAGAGGTTGAGATCAAAACATGGATCAAAGCACTAAGAAAGTAGTACAATCCTCCTGCACAGCTAACTCTATCCAGAGACACAGTGGGACTTCTACAGAAAAGGTGGATGTTCTTCCTTGAAAGACAACTTGTTCAACTCACCCAATAAATGTAATGGGAAGAAGGAATAACCTTGAGGAACAGGAGGAAGAGCCATAATCAGGACAATGGTCAGATAAAAGAAACCTGAGTCTGGGCCAGAACTGTAACCTGAGAAAGCAGACAAGACCCTCTCTAGTCCTCACAAAGATAAAGGGAGGGAGATGGGAAGCGCATTCAGATTTGCAAGATCGTGTTATTGTAACCTTATAATAAAAGTAGTATTAGCATTCATAATTTCCTAGTCTGGTCTACTTTGAAGGGCTGACAACAGGATACTTTGACTTGGCTGTGGGCTCTTCATGAACTGTCGCAAGCTCTGGATAGGCACAGGTTCCCCTTCCTTATGCTAGAATATATCGCAGCTTTGATCTCACACTCTTCAAAAACATTATAATCTGATCTAGATAAACTGCAGCAATCTGAAGTTCCCAAGAGCAGGTTGGAGTATAGAATTAAAACTGGAACATGATTTGAAGAGGACAAAATATATGTGGCAATAACACCCAATAGACAGATAGAGATGATAGAGAGAGATAGAGACTGATAGATAGATAGATAGATAGATAGATAGATAGATAGATAGATAGATAGATAGATAGGGCAAGTTTTTTCACCAAAAACTGCACCGTCCTCTTGCATTTTGGCAATTAATCCTGTTAAAAAAGGTAGTTTGGTTTTTAAATAGGACAACACTTTTAGAGGGATGGCCTAACCCAGAACCCTTTCCTCCGTACTCGGAAGCCAAATCAGCAAGTATTCATTCAGGAGGCAAGTGATTAATTTTGCTTTTGCAAACAAAACTCCAGACCTGGGCTGCAAATATCCCATAAGCACTTTGTGTGTGTGTGTGTGTGTGTGTGTGTGCACGCGCTGGGGAATTCTGGGAGTTGAAGTCCACCCATCTTAAAGTTGCTAAGGTTGAGAAACACT